GAGGAGGGCAGACTGCCCTCAATGGCCTTGTTCTGAAACCCATTTTAGGGGAGGTGTGCTTCCTGGGTTTGCTGCAGTCACAAGTCCCTGTTTTACAGTTGCAGAGGGCTTCAGTGGGGTTAATTTGCAGTTGCACTAATCAAAGCATCCCCAGTTCTTCAGGACTCCTGATCTTTTTGTGTTTCTTGAATTCACAATGTTTTAGAGCCATAAACTTGTTTTTATAGCTTACATAGTCAACCCTTTGACCACATGAACATTAATAGGAGCCTTTTTTGTTGGTGGTACTATGTGATTCCCTTCTGGCAAAACCTCTGAAAGTCTTCAGCTGAGCCAGCTGGCATGGAGGGATCCCTGGGAACACGACAAGGGGATGCTGCAGTTTTCCCCCTGTATATAGAGCAGCATAAACAGTATTCCTACTGTTATGCAGGCAGAGGGGTGAACCTGGGTCCAGTTTATTGACCCTGAACACCACTGCTCCTCGCCAGGAGACATCAGTGCCTGGCTGTGCTGCCCTCCCCTTGTTTTGCCTGGCTGCCGTGTTCGATATCAGATAGCAATCGATTCACTCCCCAATTACATTACTGCCCTGTGGGTGTGAGCAGCAGCTGGGAAACTTGAGCTGTGCTGCTGGTAAACACAGCAGTGACACCAGCACACCCCTCCTGCCAGCTCAGCCACGGGTGGGGGACAGGGGACCTGGCAGCTGATGCTCCAGGGCTGGGCACTCTCCCCAGGGAAGAGCCGTGGCCATGGGGAGACAAGGGATCTAACTGGAGAGCTGTATGGACGTGCTTCCACCACTGCCAAGTGGCTGCCCTAGATAATAGCTGCTGTAACCCCATGGTGCAGGAGCACAAGGCAGCTCCTTGTGCCTGCTGGGCTTTGGTGGTGGAGCCACGGCTCACCAAGGGGCACCTCTGCAGCTGCCCTGTGCAGGCTGCTCCTGCACTGCTCTGCTGGGGGGCTGCACAAGACAGACTGTGAGAGCTGCCCTAGAGATTGCTGGAGCTGTCTGAGATGCTGCTCTCTGGTCAGGCAGCCCTGCAGAGTGATGGGGGTGCTCAGTGGGTTCCTCTCTGGCTGGCAGGGCTCTGGCCACCCGCCCCTGGAGCAGCCTGTGCCTGGGTGGCTTCCCTGCCCAGGGCAGGGGGAGTGCCCCAGCAGCCAAGGGCCTGGGCTGCTCCTGTGCTGTAGGGAACACGGCTGCAGTTGTGCAGGACCACTGCAGAGCAGGGAAGTCTGAGCAGGGCTGTGGCAGGGGAGCTGTGCAGCCAGGGCAGCTCTGTGCTGGGGCAGAGCTCTGGCTGTGCTCACGTGAGGAATGCTTCGCCTGGCTGTGCTCTGTGGCGTGGAGGTGTAAGGGCAGAGTACATAAACAACTCTAACAGGGTGTGTTTTGACTTGACCCAGTCTACACTACACCTAGGGAGGCTTCTGGGGTTGTCTCACAGAACCCAGGGAAGAGGGAGCTGTCAAGCCGTGGCCGTTGCTGCAGCACCTCCGTGCCCCCTGCAGTGCTGGCTGTTTGTACATTGGCACAGTGAACCAGCTCTGCAAAGCAGCATCCAGGGGCAGAGGTCAGCTCTGGGGTGCAGTTCAACACGTGGCACCCATGGTGCCATCTGATCTGGTACCTCTGGAGGCATCCCAGTGGCAACCTTGGCCTGCTTGGAGATGCCAGACGCTTTGGAGCTGGTGCTGCTGGAGCATCTGCAGCAGGTCCTGCTGCTGCCCTGAGTGCAGGGGCTTCTGCTCTGCCTGGGAGGGGTGATGGGTGGCACAGTGGGGCTGCCAGGCAGGCAGAGAAGGGCAGGGCCCTTCCAGTCATCCCCTAGTGATGAGCTTGCAGTGCAGCTGCACACTGTTGACGTGGTGGGGTATCAGTTGAAGGATGTGTGTAGCTGTTTTGGCATGTTAATTTGACAATTGAAGCCCTTGCATCTCGCCTCTTAGGATATTATAGTAGGTGGCTTTTAAAGGGCATGACAGGTTCCTGTCCCTGGCTGCAGACACGGCAGCTGTGGGCTCGGGCTGCCCTGAGCAGGGGACATGGCCCAGGCCAGCACTGGGGGCCAGTCAAGCTGGGAAATAACCCAGTCCCCAAACACAGCAGCCTGTCCTGGTGGCCTTTCAGCTCCGTGGTTCCCTGCTGCAAGTCCCACTTGCAGCCGTGTGGGCTGTGGCATAAGGGCTGGAGTGGGCAGTCAGGAGAGGTGCTGCTCAGGGCCATGAGGGCACTGCTCAGTTTGGGCTGGACTCGGTGTGTGGAGGGGCCAGGGGAACCCATGCAGGGTTTGTGCCCCCTGAGCTCCTGTCCCCACTGCACTGCAGCTCAGCTGGGGGCCCCATCGTGGGCTCCTCAGCTCTCCTCTGGCAGTAGCACTGTTAGAGTGATTCCTGGCATCTTGGGGCACATAGCTGTTTTTGGAAACCCAGCTTTCCTCATTGCCTGTAACACATCCTTTTAGCTCCTCTCTGAGGAACTCGAGCTGTTACTATGGTAAATACTGGGCTATGCAGATGCTGTCAGGAAGGAGCATGGTGTGGAGTGCAGTTTCCCAAAGGGAATGTGGCTGGGCTCTGTGAGGACTGGGAGGGTCTCTGCCAACCTAAAGGATTCTGTGATTCCCATACTTGTAATCACTTTGGGTCAAGTTCATTGGATACTTCCCTGTTAAAATTATGCAGGGAACAGAAGCAGCCTGTGATGGCCTGAGCCAGAGCTGGTTGTGTCCAATGGTCCTGCAAGTTCAGAGCCTCAGTGAGTGCCCAGCTGTGAGCTCCCCAGGGCAGCCTGGGGCTGGGAGGTCACGTTGGGAAGCAGCAAGTACCTTTTCCCTCGTGGTCCCCAGGTAGTCAGAGGATTGCTGACAAAGAGGACTCATCTGTAATCTGGTGTGAAATCTGTTAATGTGCTGGTGGCTGCTTTGAGGATGGAAATGGAGCAGTTAACAGTCTGTATCATGTGATGGAGGTGGTGTGTACCTGCACAGGCACCTCCCGTGGTCAGCAGGCTCTGGGGAGGTTACGTGTGGGGCTGAGCAGTGCAGGGGGAGGTAGGAGATGGCAATCTGAAGTGCAGAACTTTACTGAGATCAGGGCATATGGGTTGGAACAGGGAACCCAAGGGAATGACCACCCCTCTAGTCATTAGAGCTGTGTGAGGGAACACTTAAACTGCATCTGGGGTGGCATGGCCCATCTGTGGTGTTGGCTGGGTGAGCTGGGAGGCGTTTGGGTCTGTGCTGGTATCTGCCAACATCTGTGTGTCAGGGGCTAGGGGAGGGGTGTGCATGGGGCTTCAATTTGAGGGACAGAACCCCTTTGCTGGAGACCAAGGACTGTGGGTTGGAGCAGGGAGCCAAGGGCAGTGACAGCCCTGTACTGTGGTGACTTACATGGGGACACCTGGCTTGGCATTGGCAGGGTGAGAAAGGGACATCCCTGTAAACACTCCTCAGCAGTGTGCTACCTCAGCAAGCCCAGAAACACCAAGTTTCCCACTGCAGGAGCGTGGCCCTCCCAGGAGGTGAAGTGGGTGGCTGGGCAGTGCTGTGCAAGGAGAGAGGGTGCTGTGAGCCTCTGTGGTGGTGCCTTGGACCTGGGCAGTGTTACATGTGATAAAGCTCCTCTGCAACCCCACAAAGAGGCTCAGAGACAACAGCAGGAGGAGGACCCCAAATCATACCCTGCTGGGCTACTGCCAGGTCCATCCCAGAGGCCATCAGCCCATCACAGGCCCATCTGCACAAGCCCAGAGCATGGGCAAGCAGAGACACAAGGGGAGGTGGGACACCAGCCCAGAGCCCTGCACACCTTGCCTGGGCCACTGCTGGGGCTCAGCCCTGGTGCCCAGGCGTGATGCCCGTCACTGACCCATGGGCAGCAGTCCTCTGGATCACTTCTGGACTGAGGAGGTTGCTGCCAAGGACTGGGACACGTTGTGGGGAGAGGGGAAAAGGCAGTTTGGGATTGCACAGGACCCAGTGGGGTATTGAGAGGAAGAACCAAAGGCAGGGCAAGGAAGGGAGTTGTGATCTGGGCAGGAACAAAAGTGGGGAATACAGGAGTCAGGGGATAAAGGGTCGGG